AGTCTACCTCTGCTGAGCTGCAAGCTTAGGTTCTCAAAATACTTTACTCTGGCTGGTTTTTATAAACGAATCATTTAGAGTTCTGGGTAGGTTTAAAAAAATCTAAATAAATCGTAGGATTCTGCTGTTGTCCAAGTCCTCTGTTAAAAGAAGTCAGCCTGATCCTCTGAAGATACTTCTACACAGAACTTCCACAGAAAACATAATAAAATTGTTCATAGTTCACATGGCTAGGTCTTTACAGAATTGTAGCACTGCCTACTGTGAGACACGGGCACGTTGAGTCTTTGTTCTGAACTTCATCTAAATTAATTTTTGAAAGAGTGAACACAAAGCCTAGGATTAAAACTTAAAGTTACCATTTTTAGTGTTGCCTGGTATTTACTTTTGCTACAGCCCAAACTTAACATTTAACAGTGGATCAGTTTTGACTATGTGCTGTGGTCTTAACAATACATCAGGCAACGAAGACTTAAAACTTTTAAAAGTAGTTCTGCAGTACAGCTAGTTTGACTACTTACCCCAGATAACTTTGCCCCCTTGTGTCACAAGGCCAAGCTCGCTCACATTCACCTCAATGACGGTCCCCTTGGTAATCACACCCAGTTGTGTGTACAAAGGAGAAGAAGGGTTCTTTTTTACACCAAGGATAGGTAGGCAAAAAGTAGCCTTAAGTTCAGGATGTGTCACGTGTGCCTTCTTGAAACGCAAGCCCTGTTGCACAAGGAGAGTTAGAATGAGTTAGTATTTGCTTTAAAACCTCATGGTTAATCTACTTTAACACTTTCAGCGTTGTGTCCTCAGCTGTGTATGTTATGACAGATTGGGAAGAATGAAAACAACCTAAAATACAGAGTGCTATCTGCCTACTATAAAATGCCAAATTTGTTTAAAAACCCAACTAATGACTAGGTACAGCCTTCCATATTTATTTTCAGGGTGTCAATTCTTAATAGTAGCACAAGAATACTACTTGCTACCTCAGATGGCTTCTGTTCCATGAAGAAATGAGGTGTTCGTGGTAACTGGTTTTTAAGACTCAAAATTTTTCCTTTTTTCTTGTGAAACCTTTCACACATCGTAAAATACTAAATACCAATCTCCTATAGCACTTTATATCTAGCAACCTGTGCTTTTTAAAGAGTACTTTACTATTAAGTATCATAAACTTATCTGCATCAGTAAAAATCTACCCAAAGCTTCTGTGTAAGATTATGGCCATCGAAATAGTAATGGGGTACGATCCAACAGGCAGCCTGCATGGTGGTTCTGTTGATTCCTGTGACGGAATGAGAACGGGTATTTGTAGAAAAACTACATTGTCTCGGTGAATCTAATTTTTTCTCCTGTGCACTGCCAGGCTGCTAGAGCCCAGGCACTGTTCCTGCAGAGGTGTAAGGAAAGGTCAGGCAGGAGGCAGAGCATTTCCCTTTCACACACTGTCACGACTGCTTCAAGCTTACTTAACAAGTCAGGAGGAGGGAGTTCTGGAGTCCTGCAAGAGAGTTGGCTTCTGTATCTGACAGAACGATAGCAGCTTGAAAAAGAAGCCTCCAACTTCAAAAGCTATTCAAAGTGCCTTTGCTAAAGACCTTCCCATGCCAATTTGACTTTGCTAATTGAGCTTTAACTTACTGGCACCGCCTGTCTTACAGGAGTAAGAGCAGAGATATTTCCACACAGGGACTGCAGGGGCATCTCCCCACCCTCAGGCTAGTCAAAGTTTAGGTTTCTGCAAGGAAACTAATAGGAATCTTCTCCATCAGTAGTAAGCAAGTACATCATCACAGAAGAAAGTTTCCTCGCCACAGGAACTCAAAGCAGTAAGCCAAAAGAAATACTACTCAAATATTCTTTAAGGCTGAAGAACATTACCATTGGTCGAATGAATCGCTCGTATTTAGGAGGCTTCCTAGTAAACCCATCTCCAACAAAACAAACTTTTGTAACCATCCTCTTCCAGGCCTTCTTCTTTCTCTTCCCTGTACGAATCACTTTTAAAACTTCTGTTTCTCCTTGTGCGCGGACCTTTGGCACAGGAACTTCCCATTTCCCCTGGGGAAAAAAAAAAGTCAATAGTCTTAACATGCTGCATTGCTAAATGAAAGGGGACAAACAAAGCATAAAATTAAATTTCCCTTTTTGTATAGTAGTAACTACTTTTTACACAACTCATAACTATTTATTTTAATTAGCATTTAAAGTTACGAAAATCGGTCATTTTTACAAGTAATTGCAAGTATCTGAATTTTAATACAGTTACTTACAGCTTTTTCTTTTCTTTTCTGCTTGATCATGTTGGAAAGAACCTTAGCCCGGGACTGGCCCTCTCTGTCCAGCAGGTATGCTGGTACAGCTCCTTTAGGTGTTTTTTCATCATTCTTTTGCTTTGTATTTCTCTTTTCATGCATTTTAATGCTGCAAGGAAAAAAAAACAGTATTAAGAGTAGGAAAAAAAAAGGCTCATTTTTAGATAGATGCTTTAACTTAGCGTGTGCCTGCTCAAAATTATTGTTGTGTAAACAAGTAAACAATTTTTGTAAACATTTTTTGTTTTGTAAACAAGTACATATTTATGTCTGAGAAATAATCCTAAATAGTTTTCAAAGTAAACTAGTAATCTCACTTAATATGGATTGCACAGTGCATATAAGCTTGTCAATTCCCGTCAAGACAAGAACAGAAGACCTCCATCTTATTCAGGAATTTCTGAATCACCTAAAACAAGCAGCCAATCACTTTGAGAAACAGCAGCCTTCCTCTCTAACAAAAAATAACATACTGCTACTCTTCTGAGATCTGATGGCAATGCTTATATAAACGTGTCTGTGTAAAAGGGCTTGTGTTTTGTTAATTTTTGAGGCCATGGCGGGGGTGGGGGAGAGAAAGACTCCCAAACTAGTTAATAAACCAAATAGTTCTACAAGTAGCAAAGGAAAATAACTGTCTACACTTGGAAAACAACAAGGTGGAATGATATTAGAATAGAGAATATTGTTTAAAACTTTGTTTTTGATTTCTGAACATCAGAGAAAACTTTCAAAAAACTGCTGTTGTTTATCTATGCTTGATATTGTAATTTATCCTAGAAAACAAGTCTCACAATCTGCTCAAACACTCTGTATGTTACTGTACTTTTTCTCCTAACAGCATTTCAAAAAACGCCTGCTGCCTCTTGCTACACTGATGCAGCAGTTGGTGTAAAAGCCTTGATCAAATGCATTCATGTTTTTGCAAGAACTACATTAATCACTGCTATTGCTAATTAAAACTTAGGGAATACTTTTAGGAGGTTTTGTTAACATCCACTGAGAAGAGTGCAACTCGTAAAAGTCTTTGCTGTGCCAAAACCCACTCTCTCCTAACACCTGAACTCTAATTAAAAGTACGACCCCAGCAGTGAGTGGTTCTTTGTAACGGCGTTAACGTCTCGTCTCATCCCTCCAGCGTCGGGATGACCGGCAGAGCACCCGAGAAGCGGCGGGTACTCACGTCTTCTTCATCTGTATCTTCTCGGCGTGCCGCTGCTTGTGGTATAGCTTGGCCTTCAGCCCGATCATCTTCTTGGCCTTCCGCGACCGCTCGTGGGCCTCCCGGCCCTCCTTCTTCCTCTTCTTCTCGTGGTAGTCCAGGCGGTAGCCATACCGCTTGCGGTGCAGCTCGATGTACTCGTTCTGCGGCTGTGAGGGAGGAAGAAGGCGGCGCCCGGTGAGCGGGCGTCCCCGGACGAGGCATAGAGGACCAGGCCAGGCCGGGCCGGGCCGGGCCGGGCCGGGCCGGGCCGGGCCTGGCAGCGCTGGGACACGCGGCGGGGAAGCCAGCAGGCCGCGGCCCGGCGGAGCCCTCAGCGCGGGGCCCGCTTAGCCGCCATCACCGCTCCCTTCTTCTCCTTCTCCTTCTCCTTCTCCTTCTCCCTCTCCCTCCCTCCCTGCCCCGGCTCTCACCATGTCTGCTGTCCCGCGGCGTCCCCCCGCGCTCCCTTGGTCCCTGCGCTCCGCCGCCTCCTCCGCGGCGAAAAGGAAAGGGCACCCGCCAAATGGCCCCGGCTGGAAACGTGCCCCCCGCGGCGCTTTGGTTCCGGGCAGGGGAGAAGCGGCGCTCCGCCTCCCCCAAGGGCTACGCGCCCGGCTTGGCGGGGCCGGAAACAGGGGGAAAATGGAGAGGGAGACGCCGGAGCGGCGCTCTTTGCAGTCTGGGTCTGTGAGGTCGGGGCGGTGGGGAGGAACGGCGGGATGGCGGGCTAGGCGTTAGGGGAGAGGAAGGAGGGGCGCACCTTCCGGCGGCATGGCGGCTCTCCCGGCCAGGGCCAAGGCGGGGCAGGCCAGGCCGTGGCCCTGCTAAAGCTGTTCGCCTGGCGGTTCGTATCGAGGCGGGTTGGGGCGGCGTCGGTTTGCGGGAGCGGCTGCCTGGGCCGGGTGGCCCCGCAGCGGGCAGCGTGAGAGGAGCGGTACCGCCACACTGCCCCGGGCGGCAAAGGGCGGCGGAGGACGGGGAGGTGTGGGGGTGGGAGCGGGAGCGGGGCCTGTGTGCGAGCTCCTTTCCCTACCATGAAGCATAACATCACTGGAGCTGGACACCAGTGTCGCCCTAAACAACGTAGCGGCCAGCTAGGAATGCTCTTGGAGCTTCAGAAGGGCAACAAAGATGGTGAGGGGTCTGGAGCACAAGTCTTATGGGGAGAGGCTGAGAGAGCTGGGGTTGTTCAGCCTGGAGAACAGGAGACTGAGGGGAGACCTCATTGCTCTCTACAACTACCTGAAAGGAGGGTGTAGAGAGGTGGGGGTCGGTCTCTTCTCTCAAGTCACAGGCGACACGACAAGAGGAAATGGCCTCAAGTTGCGCCAGGGGAGGTTCAGGCTGGATATTAGGAAAAATTTTTTCACTGAAAGGGTTATCAGACATTGGAATGGGCTGCCCAGGGAGGTGGTTGAGGCCCCATCCCTGGAGGTGTTCCAAAGACAGGTTGATGTAGTGCTGGGAGATATGGTATAGTGATGGTGATGCTTCTTGTTTGTTGTGCCTATTTTTGTCAGTTAGGTTGATGGTTGGACAAGATGATCTCTAAGGTCCCTTCCAACCTAGAAGATTCTGTGATTCTGCGCTTCACCTTTGCGTCGTGCTGGTTCTAGCGATGCTTGAAATCCTGTAGCAGCGCATGTTTTTTGTCCTTTCCCTTCCAAAACACGCACTTCTCCCAACCGCCCCTTCCTCTGCAGGGACCAGCAGAGATATTTGTGCTTCGCTGATGGGTAATGGGTGCTCTAGAGCTTTTCTGAGTGCCAGCGTGAACACTGATGTTAATATTTACGCTTTACTGTTTGCAAATTTCTTTGAGAAATGCATTCAGTGTTTGCAGGCTTGCATTTATGCTGCATTTTTAAGGTTTATTAGCACTGTTTCTACAGGTTCTGATACCGATTCAACCTGCAAAGTGGTAACCTGAAAAATAGTAACCTGATCGAACTTGAAAAACAGTTAAGTTTCATGATTGTTCTATGTAGAAGTACTATATCTATCTTCTTCCTGTCACAAACGTGTTGTAAAATGTTTACTTATCTTGGCAGGGAAGAGTTTTAGGTACAGGAGCCAAAATGTTGAGAATTACGAGGAAATTTCCAGTTAACACATTAAAGTCATCCATTTTGTGCCATGAGGTAAACTTTTTTCCCAAATTTTGAGACTTCCTCTCTGAGCAAAGGGAATACGCAGGTTACTCTGAGTAAACATTTAAAATTTTTTTTTGTCTTTCATTTAAAAATTGGTATCAAAATAGAATGTGTAATTTCATATTGAAATTAGACTTGACATAAGTCAGAATGTGGAAGCTGAACATGTAATTTTTCTGTAAAGTGTTTTAGTTATCTGTGATCTTGATTACTTAATAGTTGTCATTGTTAAATTTGTATTATTTACACAAATAATTAGATGTATTTAAAATATTGTGGCTACTAGTTGCTGCCATAGATTTTTAGTGGACTTGCCCAAACAATATTGGGATAGGACTTGGTTTAAACCTCCGTGCTACCATCTTCATGCTTCTGCCTACAAACAGCTGGTATTTTGAGCTTATGGAGGTATCTAAAAACAGTATCATCATTTCTTGTAGATTTATTTTTTTAGTTTAGTTTTCTACAATTGGTACAAATGTAGCTAAAAAAGTAATTGTTTATAATGATAAATATTCTATATGATTTTTCTTTTCTTTTAAGCATGTGTATTTCAGGAAGACAAAATTCAGAATCATAAGTGTGACACAGCAAAACTGCAATCTACAAAACTACAGTTCTCCCCCAGGTATAAGTTTAAATTATTTTCTTAATTGTAAGGATTACTTTAAAAGTAAGTAAGAATGCTTTCTAACTTGTGCTTTATTGTATTCCTTTGGTCATTATTTATAGAATTTGGTGTATGGAGTGCAAACAGAGTAATTAGAACGTTCAAAGACTGAAAAGAAGTGTTTTGCATTGCTGCTCTTTTCTTAGTTAATGTGTGTTATAAAGCCTTTAGAAGGTAAGAAGAAGAAAAGGTACACATACATAGGAAGTCCAGGTCAGTTGTGAAGTGTGATGATAGCTAGCATGTTGGACAAAGGGAGAAAGACAGAAATCTGATTAAATAGAAGTTTTAAGTTATCATTAGTGTATTTTCTTTGCAAACTCAGTATTAAAGAGAGTAGAAAGATTAAGATCCCTCAAAAACAAAATTTAAATTAGAAGGAATTTTTGTGGTCTTTGAGTAGCTACACTGAGATTGAATAGAAATCGATTGCTACAAGGTAGTTTTGGGAGTCAGGGCCAATTTTTCTACATTGTGATGGGAAGGAATTGGTAACTGGTGGGTAGCCAACTTCTGTTGGTTTTTTTTTTCTTAAAGAGGTAAAATTGTTAGTGGATTCAGCACTGTGTATCTTAGCAAAAGGCTGTAACCTGCAGTCACGTACCTAAGAAGATGGCTTACTCTTTGTTGCTAATATCAACAGTGTTTCTGTTGGTACTTATCGCTGTTTCTGTGTAGTTGTCTGTGAGAGGTCCTTGCTGTCTGCCGCATGAATGGTGGTGGTGATGAATTTCTGCTTCAGTCTTTCTTCTTGAGACATTAGCCTGTAAGATGCCTCTTAAATGTCTCTCTAGTTAAGGAATGTTAATTTAAATATTGTTGAATTCTGTTTGGCCTATTGAAGATAAACTAAAGTACTAGGAAAGTGAGTTCCTGAAACACAACTTAAATGGCTCCAGTAATTGAATTATGGATTAGTCTCCTGAAAATGCAGCTTGGCAGCTTATTTTCCAACTAAATAGGGTGTGAGAGAGGAAATATCTTTCAGGAAAATATGTATTTGAAACTCCTCAGTGCCATGTTTTCCTAACCTAGGTCAGTTTGCGTTTTCTCCCTGAGAATTATGCTGTCTAGCTTCAGTGTTACGGGATAAATTACTTTTGAAATTTGTTAGCTAATAGCAGTTCAGATGAATGTCAGTATTACAGTTGTCTTGGACTGTGGCATATTTTGCTATTGCTTCTGCAGAGTAAGATTTTACTGTTTACTTTTCTGTGTAGGCTTTTTCCTATTGTTTTTGAATTATAGCTGGTTTTAAGAGTTTCTCCTTCTTATGGAGAAAGATATTTATTGACAATTACGTACACTTTTTTAGAAATTTGAAATGGTGGAGATTACAGACTGTCATGCGTTGTGGCTCTGAATTGTTTTTTTAGTAAGTTTTTTAGGAGTTTTGTTAATTATCATTAATTCTGTTAAAACGTATTATTTCTACATTGGGATCAATCTTACAAATTGTCGTATTGTGTTGTTTATCTCCAGGAGATGTTAAATCTCTGCGTTCTGTCATTAATCCTCATATATCCAGGTACGTCATGCTAGCTTATTTTTCGGATGTAACTGGCAGTCAGAGCAATTGATTTAATGAAAGGTCACAGGTTGTTGCTATGCCCGTCACATCTGTCATTCATGCACGTGTTCTAAATTAGAGTTAGAACTTCCTTAGTCTTACCCTTCTGACATTTCAATATAGAAGGGTTGTTGGTGTTGGAAAGATTTTGGACTGTCTCTTATTTACATCATCAGAAGCAAAAGCTGGGCTTTTAGGGAAGTTCCAAATCCATGGTGGGAGCTGAGCAGGGTGGGAGGGATGTCTTGGGGTCACTGCTGTGGGCAGGGCTGTGTGCTTTGTGTTCATGGGAGCGCTCATCTGTGTTAGGTGAGAACATTAGCAATGAGGTAATTAGGGCTGCTGAAGAATTAGCTTGGGGCTGAAGTTCCCTTGGAAGACTACTTCTGCCCGGAGGGCGAATTCAGCTAGCATTAATGGTGACTATGGGGTCTAGTGAAGCTGTTTTGGAAGCTGCTGGCAAGGTACTTCAGAAAGGAAGACTTGGCTGAACAGAATGAAGAACAACTTCATAGCCACTTGGATGCAGTATTTAGGGCATAAAGAATATATATGCAATAGATTGTTTCAAGTGCCAGGGGCTAGGGATTGGGATGGATGAGAGGGTGGAGGGTCTGCTTCTGTCTGTGGGGAGGGCAGGTGGGTGAGGATGAGGCCAAGAAGTGTCCTTCCCCTCAAGTGAAGTGTGGAGACCTGTTCCAGAACTCTTGAGTACTACTGATCTGAAGAAAATCCACCATTTCAATACTGTTGTACTTCAGTATCAGAATGTACACTGTCACATATGCAACAGAGGAAAACTCTCAGTATACTACTCTCAGTGAATATTAATTTTTTTTATACAAATACCAATATCACTGAATAAAAAAATACCTCAGTAAAAGCACCGTTTTTGCTTTATGCAGGATCCGGAACATTGGCATTATGGCCCACATTGATGCAGGGAAAACTACGACAACAGAGAGAATGCTGTATTATTCTGGATACATAAGAACACTTGGAGGTTAGAAATACTTTTTGTATTTCAGTATGTTTGAGAGATTTAATAGCATACAGTAACATGCAATGAGGTTGGAGGTCGCTGGTGGAATGCTTAGCGTAGGAGCCAGTTGTTCTAAAGTTGTGCTGCTAGATAATGAAATTTTAATGCATGTTCCATTATGTTTTAAGGCACTTGTACTTTGAGAGATCCTGGGTTCATATTTTTCTTTAACTTTTAGTGCATTGATTTGCTTAATATTTAATTAGAGGTTCTCCTTGTTTTTCATGTGGCTCATTGGCTATTCTGGGAAAGCTGTTCCATCAGTTCTCTTTTGAGCTGTAAAGAAACCAGATTTACAAAAAGTAACCATTTATTTTGAAAGCCATAGCATAGGAAGAATTCCTTGCTTCAACAATTCTCACAGAGTTCTTCAAGACTGAAAGGATCACAGCAACCTCCATTTGTGCTACCTTTTGTATTTAGTTCCCTGTTCCCTGCTGTGTGTGAGAATGGCAGAACATGTTAGGCTTGTGGAGTGGTTGAATTTGGTGGCCTGATTATTTAAAAATGCATCTCTTCTTATTAAAAATAACTTAAAAAAACCACAAACCCCAACCTTGTACTTGTTTGTTTTGGGTTTTTTTATGGGTTTTTTTAACCTAATTACCTTTTAGTTACTAAATTTTAAAATGGCAGTCACATTCCTTACAGTGAATGCAGCCAGGTTTTTTAAAACTGTAGTTTGTTCATTATTTTGGACTTTGCTTTAGTTTTTAAGTTTCTCACAGTATTACTAGGATTAAGAACAACAAAAAAGTTGTTGGAATTGCTTGTCTTTGACTTACAGAGCATTTGCTCCCTGGAAAGGGAGCCTGAAAGCTGACATTACCATTTTCTGCAAAAGGCCAATTTTCATAGGTTATACATGTATAAAAAGAGAAGTATTTCCAAGTCTCTCTCAACACCTGTATTCCAAGACAATTTCAGCTTTTGAATTATTTGCCTACGCAACTGTAATCCTACTCCCTGTGCACAGATGTTGATGATGGGGACACAGTGACAGATTTTATGGTACAGGAACGAGAACGTGGTATTACCATTCAGTCCGCTGCTGTTACGTTTGACTGGAAGGACTACAGAATCAACCTGATTGACACACCAGGTACTACACTTCAGCAGTACTCACATTATTAGGGGAGAGTAGATGAGGTGGAGTATCATAGAATTTAAGTCTTGCCTTTAAATTTGGTGCAATATTTATTTGGTTTAATTGTGCCAGTAAAAAATCCTATACTGAGCTCTCTTCACCTTTGGCTAGTTGTTGTTTGCAGGTGCCTAATCTAGCTTGTTTTACGTGAACTCAGACTGTCAATGTTAAATTGCTCTCAGTTCAGGGATTGCAGTGTAACAATCTTTCATGTTTCAAGGACTGATGGTCTATTGCTCTGCAAGCAAAGACAAGGTTGTTTTGACATGACTTAAAAATTAAATTAAATTAAATTAAATTAAATTAAATTGTAATGACCTGTTGATGTTTCCAGTTTGAATTATGATGATATAAAAGGAAGATTGTTTTTTAGGTCATGTAGACTTTACAGTGGAAGTGGAGCGTTGCTTGAGAGTCCTGGATGGAGCTGTAGCCGTGTTTGATGCTTCAGCTGGTGTTGAGGTAAGAATAACTGGTAGATATTTTTTTTAGGTACCATCATGTGTGAAACTGAACTGAGTAACAGCCCTCAGCCCCAACAACAAAACAATTAGATCTGCTTGTGGGTTTTTGGGCTTTTTTTCCCAAAACTGTGTAGGAAATCCTTGCATTATTTCCATGTATTGGTAAGAGACTACTTCTGAATCTGAACTGATTTTCATGTATACCTGTTTTAACTTTCCAATGAAAAAGCAGTCATGAGTTGTATGTGTACAATTACTAGCAACACAATTGGTGTTGTTAGTAATGTGTACAACTAGTGTGGAACTAGTAGACAAATAACTAGCAGAACCACAGTAATTTCTAGTGTGGTATTTGTAGCCACAAAGAAATGCTTGCTTGTGTGTGCTTAAGTATTTTGGCAATAAAGTCTTAAGTCTCTACTGGGTTTTTTTCCATATATATCCCCAGTCATGAAAGTCACAGAATTGTCAGAGTTGGAAGGGACCTCTAGAGACCATCTAGTCCAACTCCCCTGCTAAGCAGGATTGCCTAGAGCATGTTACTCAGGACTGCATCCATGTGGGTCTTGGAGATCTCCAGAGAAGGGGACTCTGCAACTCCCCTGGGCAGCCTGTTCTAGTGCTGCAACAGTTTCTCTCTGTGTTCCTTTGCCCCTACACCTGTGTGCCCTTCGTGAAGGATGGGGAATGATGACAGCTGAGAGATGAGATAAAGCTGCTTGTGGAGTTCACCTGTGCTGCTAGGTCCAGGATTGTCACAAGGCACTCAGCACAGTTCCCTTCTGTGCCCTGAGCTCGGTCCCTCAGCGGTGTTGGGGAGTGTCTCTTTCGGGTACCGCCACTAGTGTTTCCATTTTGTCTTTTGCCTTAGGCCCAGACTCTGACAGTGTGGAGACAAGCGGACAAACATCAGATACCAAGAATTTGCTTTTTGAACAAGATGGACAAGAACAGGGCAAGGTATTTAGACAGTTACTGTAATCATTGCTAAAAACCTCGTAAAAGAATGTATGTAATCAAAAGTTCTTCTGTTAAGCGTAGTTCAAGCCAACTATGTTAATACTTACTATATACATCTTTGATTATACACATGTGTATTTTTCTTTAATTGTAGGACTAATTTTTGCCATAAATAAGGAAAAGTAAGCCTATTTTACTATATCATTACGTTTTGTCTAACTTAGTGTCTATTGTTTTAATATAGTTTTACATATGCTGTTGAGAGCATCAAACAGAAGTTGAAGGCTAAACCATTGCTTTTGCAGGTAAGCTTAGAAAGTAAATGTTCATTTGCTTTCTTTCAAATGGTACTTATTTCTTAATTTTTTGGAGCTGTCTGAAATGTCCACTCTATTTGCAGTTGCCCATTGGGGAAGCCAAGACCTTCAGAGGACTGGTTGATGTTGTGACTAAGGAACAAATAATTTGGAAACCTACTTCTGATTTGGATGATGGAAAAAATTTTGAGCAAAAGCCGCTGCTGGAGGCTGATGACCCTGACCTTTTCCAAGAAGTCCAGGATGCCAGAAGTGCCTTAATAGAACAAGTAAAGTTCTAAAGTAAATACATAATGTATTTAAAACCATTATTTAGAACAGTAGAAAAAATAGGCTGAAGACGGCTACTGGAGGTGTCTGATGCAGTGATCTGCTGACTTCAGCATCAGATCAGGTTGCTCAGGCCTTGTTCAGTTGAGTTTTCAGGTCTCTAAGGATGGTGATTACAGTCTGTCTAGGCAGCCTGTCCAGTGCTTGGTCATCCATGTAGTCAAACATTATTTCTTTTTGTCCCATGGGAATTTACCATGGTTGCAGCCAGTGACAGTGCCGCTTGTCCTTTCCTTGTGTACCTCTGAGAAGAATCTGTCTGTGTTTTCCCTGAAGCAGGCCCACCACCACCTCCATATTTCAAGTAGTAGTAAGGGACAGCATTTGCATCCTGCCTTAGCCTCTGCGAGTTAGACAGACCCATCTCTCTGTGCCTCCAGCTGCACTCCAGCCACCTTAGCCAACTTCGCACAGTTTGTCAGTCTTATTTGTGCTGAGGAACCTAGAGCAGACAGTGATTTAGATCCAGCTTCACAAGCACTGGGAAGAGGGTGCTAACCACTTGCCCTGATCCACTGGCTATGCTCTGGCTGACGCTGCTCAGTGTGCTCTTAGCCTTTGTCAATGGAAGGGGACACTGCTGACTCATGCTCACTTGTCCAGCAGGACCTTCTGGTTGGCTTCTGCAGAGCTGTTTTCTAGCTAGTTGATTCCCACTCTGTCTCAGCACATCGATTTGTTCTGTCCCTGGTGCAAGGTTCTGTATTTGTCCTTACTGAACTAATTTCAAATTTTCTTCACATCCTTTCCATCTGTCAAATATGCTTAATGCACATTGGAAACACTAATGAATGGTGGCAAAACATGCTGAATATTGAGAGTTGGGAGTCCCTGGCTCTTCAATATATGTGTAAAATGAAAAATACTCCCTGCCTTAAAATAGGGAACTGAAAAAAGAAGACACTAAACTTAGTATTCAGTTGGCTAACATGGCATCTGGTATTCTTAGTCTTAGATGCCAAAAAGATACTTGGTATATTGACATGTGGCCTGGCAGATGTGACCCAGAACCTGTAGGATGTCCATATCCTTCTGGAGTGGCAGGTAGAAGTTGGTTAGGGTGCTGCAGGCTGGTCAAAATGATGCTACATACTGTGTTAGAGGCAGCTGAATCCCATCATAAATCCTGTTGCAAATCCATCCAAAAAGTCAATGGGAGGGATGAGAAAAGAACAATATAAATATTTCTTTAACCTAATTGTCATACCGTGAGCCTAAGAAAGGTAGTAGAAACTTGATCTACTTGACACCAGGTTTTGCACAGTTGACAGTTTAGAAGGTGTGAAGAATGGAAGAATTAATGGAAGTAAAAGAATAATTTGCTTATTGAGCAGTGCAGAACATTTGAAATAATTTGGCCAGAGTTTTTTTCTTCTGCCCTAAGCTGGCATTTTAAGGTTTCACATTATTTTATGTAATTTAGGTAATGATATTGGAATATTTCCTTGTATTCGATAGACTCTAAGCAAGTCTTCTCTCCAAGTAAAATGGGTTGGGTTTTTTTAATTACATTTGCTTTGCTTATATACAAATTAAAAATGTAGTAGTGATTACACTTGAATGCATAGTTTTATGAGCAAAATTTGGGAGGTTAACAACTGTGTTTATCTCAGCTATTGATCCATTTTGTGGAAGGGCTGTTGCCCATACAACTTAGAATAGCACTGTGCAAGTGCATAAACAGATTATGCTAGGCTCTGGGTTTCCTTTGAAATGTCAGAATTGGAGAGATCCATTTTATATTGCACTGAGTTCAGTAAAACACATACATATTCTGGTTTTCAAAATTTCCAATTTCTAAATGGGGGTGTTATCACTCAGCCTCTTATCTTAAGTAATGTATTGTCAAATAGAAAGCTTTGAACAGTGTCGGGTTTTTTCCTTTGATTCCTGGGCCCTTCCTGAAGCAGGAAGGGGTGTACCAGTAGTGTGATAATTGAGATGACTTTGTGTACATAAAATATTCTTTAATGTGTTTTCTATCCTATTAACATTCCTTATCAGAAATACTGTAAAATTTAGTAGTTTGAATACCAGTCATTTTGCACACTTGCTTTCACTTAATTTAATGAACACTTACCTTTATCTCTCATGTTTTAATTATCAGCTTGATTAGACTTGTAATTGTTTATCAATAATTCATTTCAGTATTTGTTAAATTGCTGCTGTAGCCGCCAGAGGGTGCAAAGTGCCTTCCTGCACGTAGGGTGTCCTGGGTCTGTAGCAGTGCAAGGCTGTGTGTCAGAGGAGCTTCAAAGAGTAGTTCATTTATTTGTCAAGCTAAGTGGCACAGTTTGAAAATACAAATCAGCTCTTGGACCTACAAGCCTTTGACATGAAGAAGGCCAAAATGCCCCGAAGGCTTGTCTGTTTTTTTCCAGCTGTATATCTGTTGATTCACAAAGATTACTTGCTGGTTACTTCAGACTTTGCCTTTTTTGCAGATCTGAGATACATTCAGTTTTACCCTTCATGGCTGTAACTGTATGGCTGCAGGTTTTTTCAGTTTCGGGGAGAAGTACCAACATTCTCTCTCCCACTGATCTTCTGCCTGACAGCAGCTTTTTAAGTTGATTTTTTTAATCTTTTTCCCCCCCCCCATCCTTTCTTGAAACCTTAATTTCGATAATGTTCTGTGTTTTGAGTTTACAATCTCTGATGTCTTTGAAGGCTTTGTTCCTGCTCTGTTTAGCTTTATATATCCAAAATAAGTAAGATTTGTCACTTGTCTGTGAAACTGCTGTATGCCAAATAATAAAGAACTATTCTTTTGAAGGTTGCAGATCTGGATGATGAATTTGCTGAACTGGTTCTAGGAGAATATAGTGAAAATTTTGACTTAATTCCAGCTGACAAGGTAATTTTTACATTTCATTATTTATAAACAAGTTTTTACTAGCCACTATTCTGAAGGGCTGGGTTTTTCTTCCTTGGGCAGATGTGCATTTTTTTATCAACAAAAAAAAAATCATACCAGCTTTTGTAGTGAATTTACAGTACTGTGTATTTAGAACAAAGTATATTCAAGCTTAGTATGAATTTTGTATGATAATGCATTAACTATTGTTCTCAGACATGCTAGGCATAATTTTAAAAGTAGGGTACCTTTGTTCAGGAAGGTTTGGTTCGTGGGGGTTTTTTTGAACATTAGGGTGCTGAAAAAAATTTAGGGAAAGGTGAATGGAATTTTCAGGCAGACTCAGTGCAGTTTTTATCTGATTCATACTAACAAAAGTAGCATCTCAACCACCTGAACTGGTTGGATCCTTAGACACTGCATATTGGAAGTGGTGAGGTTTGACATTTCTGAATTGAAAGGACTGTTAGAAAAGGAACAAGAACAGCTGGAGATCTGCATGAAGTGTTTAGAAACCTTAAAAGCCGTGCCATCTGTTTTAGCATCTAAACATTTGGAGTTACGGTTTTGGGGGTCATTAAAAGCAGTGAAAAGAGTTTGCACGAGTGATGTTGCATTTGCAAGCACACTTTTTTACTGTGGGGGATTTCTTAGCAGTATCTGATAGCTGGAATACAAGCCAGGCTAAATTGTAGTTCACTTGCTAATGGAAAATAACTGTTTTTTGCAGTTGCAGTCTGCTGTCCGCAGAGTGACGCTGGCTCAGAAAGCGGTGCCGGTACTCTGCGGCAGTGCCCTGAGGAACAGAGGAGTGCAGCCACTGCTGGATGCTATTACTATGTACTTGCCTGCACCTAACGAGCGCTCCTATGAGTTTCTGTAAGTACAGGGAGAAAAAGGAAAGTCAGGAAAAATAAGTAGGAGAGCATAAAGGGAAAAATACTGAAAGAGCATTCATATCTTTGAAAATGTTTACTATTTCTAGGTATGAAATAGCAGTAGAGATGTGTGGACATAAAAATATACTTGAGTACTGAACCTGCTTTGGTCAGTGCTACTGGCATTGTATGTGTTCAGCTGCAGTTGTGAAACTTGTGCTTTAGAGTTCTAAAGTCTATTTTTAATCTGAGGATATTGCCATTTTACAAAATTGGTGGGTCATCTTTAGTATTGGCTGAGCTGCATGACATCTTATGTATCCTGCTGAATCTTCACAGTGAGGGTGACAGAGCCCTGGAACAGGCTGCCCAGGGAGGTTGTGGAGTCCCCTTCTCTGGAGATTTTCAAGACCCGCCTGGATGCAGTCCTGAGTAACATGCTCTAGCTCTAGGCAATCCTGCTTCAGCAGGGGAGTTGGACTAGAAGATCTCTATGGTCCCTTCCAACTCTGAAAAATTCAGTGAAATTCAGTGAACTAGAACTGCTTAGGTTAATAATTTTTTGTATAAATTATGATTTTTAAAAACCTGGCTCTATTAATATTACAATAAGAAATTTAGGTAAACGTGAGTTTGCGTGGATTAGTCCTACAAGTATGCTTTTTGTTGTGCTTTTTATTTTGCAGACAGTGGTACAAGGATGACCTGTGTGCCCTAGCATTTAAAGTTCTCCATGATAAATGTCGTGGACCACTAGTTTTCATTCGCGTCTACTCAGGTTCACTGAAACCTCAATCAGCTGTATATAATATTAACAAAAGTTGCACGTGAGTAAGGTAGAGGTGTTGGTTTAGTGTAGCGTTGGAATATCTGCTAAGGTCCTGAGTAACAGAAGAATTTCATTTGCAGGGAGAGAATGAGCCGGCTGCTCCTGCCTTTTGCTGATCAGCAAATTGAAATACCATCACTTATGCCTGGCAACATTGCCCTTACTGTTGGGTTAAAACAGGTAATGGAAAATACAAGGGAGCTTTTTTCAGGAGTGCACTTTCCACTTTTATGATATTGTATCTCAGATGTGTTCTTGGTTATTGTGACATACGTAAACTTGCTTTATTTGAAGTACATGTAACTTCCCTCTAAAATGAAATATTACAATGTACATATGTCAGTAATTGACTTGGGAGATGCAGTTCTGATTACATGGAGAGGGCTGAAAACTGGAGGTGTGTTTTAGAAGGGTTCTGAGGTTATATTTATATTGTAACTCTTAAAATACAATTTAATCCCATGGAGAGACCACCTGCGGGTAAGGAGAGCAATGTTCCAAATAAGACCCAAAAGCAAAAGCATACCTTACATTCCAATGTTTGTTTCATGCTTCCTTCTATTAGTTTAGTAATTCAGTGTTTTATTGTCTGAACAGGCTGCATAGATCTCATTTGGACAGATTTTCTAAACTGTAACCAACTTTGGCATGTGTAAGCAAATTTTCATTTACCAATACTGTTCTTAGCAGTTTTGTGTCTTGACTGGTAGGTTAGATTTAAAATGCAGTGGACTGCACAAAGAAATGCTAGTCTAAATTTGAGCACAGTTCCTCTTCCAGATCATTTCAGTTATTTGAAGATAGACGTTACAGTAATGGTTTAAGTAGATAAATGGAGTTTAGCACAAGTGGTTTTGAGGAAGAAAAACAGTCAGCGTTTGTGGTTTTGGTTTTTTGTGTTTCATTGTGTTTTTTGTTTTTCATACCCACTTCTCTCCCTCTCCTGTGTCTTCTGGGTCACTGGGTGTTGATCTGTAGAGTGCCACTGGAGATACCATAGTGTCATCAAAGGCTTCAGCAGTGGCTGCAGCACGCCGAGCTGGAAGGGGTGCTCCAGGAGAGAAGTCTACCGGTGATGTTGAGAGCCTTCTGCTGGCAGGTGTTGAGATCCCTGACCCCGTCTTCTTCTGCACAATTGAACCTCCTTCAATGGCCAAACAACAAGGTACAATGTAGCTACCTAAGAATATAATCAGATATTCTACAAATGAGATATTCAAGCATAACTATATTCTCATATTTAAGGAGCAAGGCTCATCACCAGTCCATGCACGCCTGGTTGACATGAGAGAGTTGAATGAATTGATCAACTGGTGATCTAATAAGGACCTTTGATGTTTTGTACAGAAGTTATATTTTAGATTGTAGTGTCAGTATTCTTTGCTATTACTACATTAAGCAGTACTAGTAGTAGTTTCTAGTTTTTATGTCTACAAAAGTAGTTCTTCATTTTGAAAGAAAAGATGGAGGTAGTTTCATTTCCTACTGTCATGCTTAGTTTTGCTGCAGTCACACTGCTGTGCTGTATGTAGTGTCCTAAGTGCAAATAACCTTGAAATGTGGTTTTCTTTCAGTCAGCACTTGGGGTTTTGCTCTATGGTGTAAAGTCTTCACTTACCAAGACTTCTGTGTGTCTAGTTAGGGTTCACCCATGCAATGTGAACTCCAATCTTACTGCCTTTCCCAAGAATCTGTACCAGAGAACTTGGTTCCATTTGACTCTATTTGACCTTACTGGGTGCAGGGGGAAACATAGTGATAAAGGATGAGGAAGAGGCTGAGGTACTCTAACACCTTCTTTCCCTTTGTCTTTAATAGTAAGACCAGTTGTTCTTGGGGCACCCAGCCCCCTGAGCTGGAGGACAGGGATGGGGAGCAGAACAAAGCCCCCATAATCCAAGGGGAAGTGGTCAGCAACCTGCTACACCGCTTAGACACACACAGGTGTATGGGGCTGGATGGGATCTGCCCAAGGGTACTGAGGGAGATGGTGGGAGTGCAGCAGTCTTGTCTAACTGGGGAGGTCCTGGTTGACTGGAGGTTAGCAAACGTCACACCCATCTACAAGAAGGGCCAGAAGCAGGATCCAGGGAACTACAGGCCTGTTGGTCTGACCTTGATGCCGGGAAGGGTCATGGAGCAGATTGTCATGCGTGCCAGCATGTGGAACATACAGTTCAACCAGGTGGTAGGGCCCAGTCAGCATGGCTTCATGACAGGCAGGTCCTGCTTGACTAATCTGATCTCCTGCTACGACAAGGTGACTTGTCTACTGGATGAAGGAAAGGCTGTGGAGGTTGTCTACCTAGACTTCAGGAAACCTTTGGCACTGTTTCCCACAGCATTTTCCTGGAGAAACTGGCTGCTTAGGGCTTGGGTGGGTGTACACTTCATTGGGTAAAAAAACTGGCTGGGTGGCCAGGCACAAAGACTTGTGGTGAATGGAGTTAAATCCAGTTGGTGGCTGGTCACAAGTGGTGCTCCCCAGGGCTCGGTATTTGGGCCAGTTCTGTTTAGTATCTTTGTCAATGATCTGGACGAGGGGATCAAGCGCATCCTCAGTAAGTTTGCAGATAATATCAAGTTGGATGGGAGTGCTCATCTGCTGGAGGGTAGAAGGGCTTTGCAGAGGGACCTGGACAGGCTGGCTGGCTGGGCCGTGGCCAATGGGATGAGGTTCAAGAGGGCCAAGTGGTGGGTCCTGCACTTGGGTCACACCAACCCCATGCAGCGCTACAGGCTGGGGGCAGAGTGGCTGGAGCGGTGCCTGGCAGAAAAGGACCTGGGGGTGTTGGTTGACAGCCCACTGAACATGAGCCAGCAGTGTGCCCAGGTGGCCAAGAAGGCCAACAGCACCCTGGTGTGTATGAGAAAAGGTGTGGCCAGCAGGACTAGGGAAGTGATAGTCCCCTGGTATTTGGCACTGGTGAGGCCCCACCTCAAGTACTGCTTCCAGTTTTGGGCCCCTCACGCCAAGAAAGACATTGAGTTCCTGGAGTGTGTGCAGAGAAGAGCAGTGAAGCTGGTGAACGGTCTCAAGCACAAGTCTTACATTGAGGGAGCTGGGGTTGTTTAGCTTGGAGAAAAAGAGGATCAAGGGGAGACCTTAAGGCTCTCTACAGCTACCTGAAAGGAGGGTGTGGCGAGGTGGGAGTCAGTCTCTTCTCCCAAGAAACATGTGATGGGACAAGAGGAAACGGCCTCAAATTGCACCAGGCAAGGTTTATATTGGATATTAGTAAAAATTTAATCACGGAAAGGATTATTAAGCATTGGGTCAGGCTGCCCATGGAAGTAGTTGAGTCATCATCCTGAGAGGCATTTAAAGGACATGTAGATATGGTGCTTATGGACATGATTTAGTGGTGGACTTGGCAGTGCTAGGTTGATGGTTGGACTTGATGATCTTAAAGGTCTTTTCCAACAAAGATTCTATGACTCTTCTTGGAAATAGATACTTTCAACACTGTATTTGGTTGCGGGGGAAGGAGAGGAAGGACAAGTACCAGTGGAGTGTGATGGAATGGAGGAAGGTAGAAGGCAGATTTGGAGCAGTATGTTTGTGGGCTGAGCAGTCTCAGCTGTGAGTTTAATCATTCTGTAGCTGCTTTCCTCAGCAGTTAAGGTAATGGGGAATGAGAAAAAGATAAATTGCATCTGAACCTTTTCACATTGAACTAATCTTAAAATAATTAGGCAAATCATTTACGAGTTAGTTGACAATTTTTGTTATCTGTAAACAGGTAGCAGTACTTTTTATTGAGCTGTTAAAGCACTTCTAGGTCCATTTTGTCTTCACAGGAGTACAAAGTACCACTCTGAAAACAGTATTTTTAATAATTAAATCAAATCAAAGTACTCTGTAGCATGCAATTAATTTGTTGGAGAGAATTAGAAGTTGCAAGTTGCATGTAATTTGAGTTGAGTTTGCTAAAATCTGTGCTTCTTTAGGGTTCTTTTGATTGCTTCCTAGAATAAGATTTGACCTTATGAGGGAAGTGAAGTTTAAGACATTCCTTGTGATTCTCAAATTACTGAAATCTCTTTAAATTTAATGTTTGATATTTATGTACAGAGTTGGACAACGCATTGAGCTGCCTTCAACGTGAAGATCCAAGTTTAAAAGTGAAGCTAGATCCTGACACAGGACAAGTAAGATGAATCTTCTATTGCTCACCTTATAACCAGGCTTTACTTAAGAACTCAAGACCACCCTTTGGTTAGTTCATTTGCATATTGAAATTTTCTTGAATATAAAGGACTCTCTAAACGTATGTATCTTGTAAGTATGAAGTTCTGTGCATGAAACTAAAATGGAGCCTTGTGCACTTGTGCTTTGCAGAGCAGAGGAAGTCATCCTGTGGTCTGCATGTTTTTGACAGTTTTGTATTAAAAAAGTTTGAATTACATAGACTTTAGGTGAAGTGAGATGACCTTTTTTACAGTGGTCACAGTAGCGGTAATTACTCTCACACTTACATGGTATTTATGTCAGATGACCTAAAGCAGTCCTGTTTTCTCTCTAGGCTCCTTAGAATGTGAAGTATTTCTAAAAAGATACTATTAACAGCATGCAAGTCCTTGCTTCAGCAGTTTGTAGTAAAACCTGAGTTTTGCATGTTTCTCCTGTTCTCTCTTAACTCTCTTCTTAATAGACTATTCTTTGTGGCATGGGAGAGCTACACATAGAGATCATTCATGACCGAATCAAACGTGAATATGGAATTGAGACTTATTTGGGACCTCTTCAAATAGCATACAGAGAAACCATCGTAAATGCTTCCCAAGCTACAGGTAAAATGAGTGAATGGAAGGAACATCTTGTTTCTGGTCTTGTAGCTTGATTTACTTTAAATGACCTTACGAGTAACTTTCAGATTAATTTTATGTATTAAGTGTTGGGTTTTTTTTCCAAATGGTTGTTTTGCTTTCTCCCCCCTCCCCCCGCAGATACATTGGACAAAACAGTGGGAGATAAACGACACTTGGTAACTGCAGAGTTAGAGGTGAGGCCCAGGGTAGGAGAGAGAGCAACGACAAAACCCGTCATCGAGTACGCTGCAAGCGTCATCGAAGGGCTGCCCAAAGAACTCCAAGGAGCTATAGAAAATGGAATCACAAATTCATGCATTCAAGGTAAAGGAAGTGCTATGACAGCTATACTGGTCTAACATTTCTGTGAGAAGCAGTTTAATGTGTTTCTAGGGGGGAAGACTCCTTGGTAGCTTGAAAACTAAAAGCTGGTACATACTAACAGTAGATGCAAAGGAGAATTCTGAAATTTCCATAACTACAAAAATTGACAAACACTCCTTTCCCTATGCCAGGAATGGAAGTCAGCATGCCTTTGGTTTTAAGGTAGATTTCTTTTCAGTCGCTCAACAGTGAGCTTGGGATTATTTTGGTTTGTTTTTTTATAAGAGATAAGGTGTTTACTTGATGACATCACGTAAACCACAGTGATGTGGCAGAAGGAGGTTTGGAGGCCAGCGTGTATGTACCACACTTCTATTAGACTTCCTGATTTATTTTTTTATTTTAAAATAGGTTAAATCCATTAAAGTGTATAATAAAAAGCCTTACATAATTGAAAAGTACAGGATTTCTGAAGGATTTAAAACATGCTTTACATTTGATTAAAAATAGGAAGTATTCAGTAACTTGTGGCCAAAGAAGTCTTCCTTACAGTAAAATTAGCAGGCAGTGCACTGATGAAAGAGAATTACTCCAGAAGCACTAGCATGAGGTGGTTTTTCCATGTTGCTTTGTTGAGTTGGAAAGCATCTCTCATCTCTGGCTGTGGAATGAGTCTCAACTGTGTGCTACCTTCATGTTCCTTGAAGACATTTCAGAACTCCAGCTTAAAATTCATGCCATTAAGTGCTTAAAAAACAACCAAAAAAAAGTACATCTAACAGTGTTCCTTGTAGGAAAAAAGCTATGTGTTTTTTCTCACATGAGGTTCATGCCTCCATCTGGTCTAACACAGTTTTTGGTCTGGTTGAGAGTTCTGGGTTTGAGTGAGATAACAGCTAGGACATAGCGTCGTTCATTGCTCATGGAATTGAGTTAATCCTGCAGTTTTGGTAGTGGGTTAGTATCAGGCTTTGAGGTGGTCACGTTGTGTTGAAAAGGAAAATACAGAAGATATTCTTGCTTGTGGTTAAAAAGGTTTCACTGCTTTTCAAATGAGGTCTTGTTTCAATAGACAAGCTTTAGATACTATCATGTATTTAAAAATAAGTTCATTTTTGGGAACAGTTGCATGGATGAGCACACTCGGACACTTCTGGTTCTGAAAATTATCTGTGCTTTTGGTAGAGTAAGAAAGTGTGACTGCCAGAAGAGACAAAGCTAGGTAATGACAAAATCAGAAAATGAGAAACAAAATGAGTCATGCCTTTGGGGGCAGGAAGGGGAAGGAGAAGGGAAAGAGTCAAGTGAGAAGTTCCAAGTTAATGCCAAAACTCTTTTTGCATGTGTCTTAATGTTCTGAAAAACAAATGTGCTTTTTAATTTTTCTCATATTTTTATGTTTTTTTAGGGCCTTTGCTTGGATTCCCAGTTCAGGATATAGATGTGACAGTACAATCACTGATGGTGCACCCTGACACCTCCCACACGATGGTATCAGCCTGTGTCTCCCGTTGCATGCAAAAGGTACAGTGGTGTAAGGTGGTGTAGACCACAGCAGCATGATACACTACTGGGAAAATACACCTGGTAACTGTTCTGAACAGAGAAGAACAGAGTTCCCCCCCTCGCTGGGGACTTAATAGCTTTTGGGAGTAGAAAATTGGAGAGGTGGAGTTAGCTTGAGTTATAGAAGTAATTATTATGTCAGTGTTCAAAAAAAAAAAAGTCAGCGTAACTGTCCTTCCCTTCCACTTAGGCTTTGAAAAAAGCTGGTATACAAGTACTGGAGCCCTTGATGAACCTAGAGATCACAGTAAGTGAAGATCATCTCAGTGCAGCACTCGCTGACCTTGCACAGCGGAGAGGGAGTATTCAAGAAATCCAGAGCCGTCAAGATAACAGAGTTGTGGTTGCTTCTGTTCCACTAGCAGAAATGATGGTATGTGGTTATCTAATTAATGTTAAAATCTTACCATTTACTTTTATAAAAAATCTTTTTTTTATATGCTGAAAAATAATCAGGCTTCAATTCACTTCTCCTGTTGTCACGGATGGATAAACTTGGAATGGATTTTTTTATTACATTTTAATTATTGAATGTCTGAAGCAAGTGCCCACAAATCTAGTGGGAGCTAGTGGTGGTTTTGTGCCCGATTCAGATTGAAAACTTGCTGGTTTAACAACTATAAATCAGAAAAGTAGTAAATACTACTGAAGCAGGTTTCACAGGGAATAGTTTTTTAAAATATATTATCAGGTTGACTCATGCATCTATTGCGTTTTTAATACAGTAATATTATTATTACAGTAATAATGTTATTAGTATGTTGCTGTACACTTCTGACTCTTTCTCTCTGTGACCTAAGCAGTATATCTTCCTTTTGTCCTAACTTGAGTGACCTTTGTTCCCCATTTCTCCAGGGCTACTCGACAGTTTTGCGTTCTCTAACATCAGGCTCAGCAACCTTCACTTTGGAGCTTGCCAGTTACCAAGCCCTTAACAGTCAAGAGCAAAGCGCGCTGCTTCAGAGGAGAATGGGGTTGGTGTGATCGCTTTGCTCTGTAGAACAATAAAGACATATTTCTTAGCCTCCCTGTTTAACTATTTTCAGGAGCCTGTTCATGTACACCAGTATGTTCTTCTGGGACCAACTGGTTGTGGTAAATGAGGAATTAGCAGCTGTATGAGCAGATGGTGCTTTTAACTGTCCAGGGGAAGGTTCAGGAGATGCTTGTGTTCTTCTGCAAAGCAGCTGAACAAGAGCTGCAACCACAGTCTGCTGCTGCTGAAACCTTATCGTACAGATCTCTGCAATGAGAACTGATTTCAAATCCTCTTTGTAGAAATGAGCACCAAGGGCACCTTAATGTGCAATGAGCAGTTTCTATGAGTTCCTGGAGTGTGTGCAGAGAAGAGCAGTGAAGCTGGTGAACGGTCTCAAGCACAAGTCTTACATTGAGGGAGCTGGGGTTGTTTAGCTTGGAGAAAAAGAGGATCAAGGGGAGACCTTAAGGCTCTCTACAGCTACCTGAAAGGAGGGTGTGGCGAGGTGGGAGTCAGTCTCTTCTCCCAAGAAACATGTGATGGGACAAGAGGAAACGGCCTCAAATTGCACCAGTGTATGAGAAAAGGTGTGGCCAGCAGGACTAGGGAAGTGATAGTCCCCTGGTATTTGGCACTGGTGAGGCCCCACCTCAAGTACTGCTTCCAGTTTTGGGCCCCTCACGCCAAGAAAGACATTGAGTTCCTGGAGTGTGTGCAGAGAAGAGCAGTGAAGCTGGTGAACGGTCTCAAGCACAAGTCTTACATTGAGGGAGCTGGGGTTGTTTAGCTTGGAGAAAAAGAGGATCAAGGGGAGACCTTAAGGCTCTCTACAGCTACCTGAAAGGAGGGTGTGGCGAGGTGGGAGTCAGTCTCTTCTCCCAAGAAACATGTGATGGGACAAGAGGAAACGGCCTCAAATTGCACCAGGCAAGGTTTATATTGGATATTAGTAAAAATTTAATCACGGAAAGGATTATTAAGCATTGGGTCAGGCTGCCCATGGAAGTAGTTGAGTCATCATCCTGAGAGGCATTTAAAGGACATGTAGATATGGTGCTTATGGACATGATTTAGTGGTGGACTTGGCAGTGCTAGGTTGATGGTTGGACTTGATGATCTTAAAGGTCTTTTCCAACAAAGATTCTATGACTCTTCTTGGAAATAGATACTTTCAACACTGTATTTGGTTGCGGGGGAAGGAGAGGAAGGACAAGTACCAGTGGAGTGTGATGGAATGGAGGAAGGTAGAAGGCAGATTTGGAGCAGTATGTTTGTGGGCTGAGCAGTCTCAGCTGTGAGTTTAATCATTCTGTAGCTGCTTTCCTCAGCAGTTAAGGTAATGGGGAATGAGAAAAAGATAAATTGCATCTGAACCTTTTCACATTGAACTAATCTTAAAATAATTAGGCAAATCATTTACGAGTTAGTTGACAATTTTTGTTATCTGTAAACAGGTAGCAGTACTTTTTATTGAGCTGTTAAAGCACTTCTAGGTCCATTTTGTCTTCACAGGAGTACAAAGTACCACTCTGAAAACAGTATTTTTAATAATTAAATCAAATCAAAGTACTCTGTAGCATGCAATTAATTTGTTGGAGAGAATTAGAAGTTGCAAGTTGCATGTAATTTGAGTTGAGTTTGCTAAAATCTGTGCTTCTTTAGGGTTCTTTTGATTGCTTCCTAGAATAAGATTTGACCTTATGAGGGAAGTGAAGTTTAAGACATTCCTTGTGATTCTCAAATTACTGAAATCTCTTTAAATTTAATGTTTGATATTTATGTACAGAGTTGGACAACGCATTGAGCTGCCTTCAACGTGAAGATCCAAGTTTAAAAGTGAAGCTAGATCCTGACACAGGACAAGTAAGATGAATCTTCTATTGCTCACCTTATAACCAGGCTTTACTTAAGAACTCAAGACCACCCTTTGGTTAGTTCATTTGCATATTGAAATTTTCTTGAATATAAAGGACTCTCTAAACGTATGTATCTTGTAAGTATGAAGTTCTGTGCATGAAACTAAAATGGAGCCTTGTGCACTTGTGCTTTGCAGAGCAGAGGAAGTCATCCTGTGGTCTGCATGTTTTTGACAGTTTTGTATTAAAAAAGTTTGAATTACATAGACTTTAGGTGAAGTGAGATGACCTTTTTTACAGTGGTCACAGTAGCGGTAATTACTCTCACACTTACATGGTATTTATGTCAGATGACCTAAAGCAGTCCTGTTTTCTCTCTAGGCTCCTTAGAATGTGAAGTATTTCTAAAAAGATACTATTAACAGCATGCAAGTCCTTGCTTCAGCAGTTTGTAGTAAAACCTGAGTTTTGCATGTTTCTCCTGTTCTCTCTTAACTCTCTTCTTAATAGACTATTCTTTGTGGCATGGGAGAGCTACACATAGAGATCATTCATGACCGAATCAAACGTGAATATGGAATTGAGACTTATTTGGGACCTCTTCAAATAGCATACAGAGAAACCATCGTAAATGCTTCCCAAGCTACAGGTAAAATGAGTGAATGGAAGGAACATCTTGTTTCTGGTCTTGTAGCTTGATTTACTTTAAATGACCTTACGAGTAACTTTCAGATTAATTTTATGTATTAAGTGTTGGGTTTTTTTTCCAAATGGTTGTTTTGCTTTCTCCCCCCTCCCCCCGCAGATACATTGGACAAAACAGTGGGAGATAAACGACACTTGGTAACTGCAGAGTTAGAGGTGAGGCCCAGGGTAGGAGAGAGAGCAACGACAAAACCCGTCATCGAGTACGCTGCAAGCGTCATCGAAGGGCTGCCCAAAGAACTCCAAGGAGCTATAGAAAATGGAATCACAAATTCATGCATTCAAGGTAAAGGAAGTGCTATGACAGCTATACTGGTCTAACATTTCTGTGAGAAGCAGTTTAATGTGTTTCTAGGGGGGAAGACTCCTTGGTAGCTTGAAAACTAAAAGCTGGTACATACTAACAGTAGATGCAAAGGAGAATTCTGAAATTTCCATAACTACAAAAATTGACAAACACTCCTTTCCCTATGCCAGGAATGGAAGTCAGCATGCCTTTGGTTTTAAGGTAGATTTCTTTTCAGTCGCTCAACAGTGAGCTTGGGATTATTTTGGTTTGTTTTTTTATAAGAGATAAGGTGTTTACTTGATGACATCACGTAAACCACAGTGATGTGGCAGAAGGAGGTTTGGAGGCCAGCGTGTATGTACCACACTTCTATTAGACTTCCTGATTTATTTTTTTATTTTAAAATAGGTTAAATCCATTAAAGTGTATAATAAAAAGCCTTACATAATTGAAAAGTACAGGATTTCTGAAGGATTTAAAACATGCTTTACATTTGATTAAAAATAGGAAGTATTCAGTAACTTGTGGCCAAAGAAGTCTTCCTTACAGTAAAATTAGCAGGCAGTGCACTGATGAAAGAGAATTACTCCAGAAGCACTAGCATGAGGTGGTTTTTCCATGTTGCTTTGTTGAGTTGGAAAGCATCTCTCATCTCTGGCTGTGGAATGAGTCTCAACTGTGTGCTACCTTCATGTTCCTTGAAGACATTTCAGAACTCCAGCTTAAAATTCATGCCATTAAGTGCTTAAAAAACAACCAAAAAAAAGTACATCTAACAGTGTTCCTTGTAGGAAAAAAGCTATGTGTTTTTTCTCACATGAGGTTCATGCCTCCATCTGGTCTAACACAGTTTTTGGTCTGGTTGAGAGTTCTGGGTTTGAGTGAGATAACAGCTAGGACATAGCGTCGTTCATTGCTCATGGAATTGAGTTAATCCTGCAGTTTTGGTAGTGGGTTAGTATCAGGCTTTGAGGTGGTCACGTTGTGTTGAAAAGGAAAATACAGAAGATATTCTTGCTTGTGGTTAAAAAGGTTTCACTGCTTTTCAAATGAGGTCTTGTTTCAATAGACAAGCTTTAGATACTATCATGTATTTAAAAATAAGTTCATTTTTGGGAACAGTTGCATGGATGAGCACACTCGGACACTTCTGGTTCTGAAAATTATCTGTGCTTTTGGTAGAGTAAGAAAGTGTGACTGCCAGAAGAGACAAAGCTAGGTAATGACAAAATCAGAAAATGAGAAACAAAATGAGTCATGCCTTTGGGGGCAGGAAGGGGAAGGAGAAGGGAAAGAGTCAAGTGAGAAGTTCCAAGTTAATGCCAAAACTCTTTTTGCATGTGTCTTAATGTTCTGAAAAACAAATGTGCTTTTTAATTTTTCTCATATTTTTATGTTTTTTTAGGGCCTTTGCTTGGATTCCCAGTTCAGGATATAGATGTGACAGTACAATCACTGATGGTGCACCCTGACACCTCCCACACGATGGTATCAGCCTGTGTCTCCCGTTGCATGCAAAAGGTACAGTGGTGTAAGGTGGTGTAGACCACAGCAGCATGATACACTACTGGGAAAATACACCTGGTAACTGTTCTGAACAGAGAAGAACAGAGTTCCCCCCCTCGCTGGGGACTTAATAGCTTTTGGGAGTAGAAAATTGGAGAGGTGGAGTTAGCTTGAGTTATAGAAGTAATTATTATGTCAGTGTTCAAAAAAAAAAAAGTCAGCGTAACTGTCCTTCCCTTCCACTTAGGCTTTGAAAAAAGCTGGTATACAAGTACTGGAGCCCTTGATGAACCTAGAGATCACAGTAAGTGAAGATCATCTCAGTGCAGCACTCGCTGACCTTGCACAGCGGAGAGGGAGTATTCAAGAAATCCAGAGCCGTCAAGATAACAGAGTTGTGGTTGCTTCTGTTCCACTAGCAGAAATGATGGTATGTGGTTATCTAATTAATGTTAAAATCTTACCATTTACTTTTATAAAAAATCTTTTTTTTATATGCTGAAAAATAATCAGGCTTCAATTCACTTCTCCTGTTGTCACGGATGGATAAACTTGGAATGGATTTTTTTATTACATTTTAATTATTGAATGTCTGAAGCAAGTGCCCACAAATCTAGTGGGAGCTAGTGGTGGTTTTGTGCCCGATTCAGATTGAAAACTTGCTGGTTTAACAACTATAAATCAGAAAAGTAGTAAATACTACTGAAGCAGGTTTCACAGGGAATAGTTTTTTAAAATATATTATCAGGTTGACTCATGCATCTATTGCGTTTTTAATACAGTAATATTATTATTACAGTAATAATGTTATTAGTATGTTGCTGTACACTTCTGACTCTTTCTCTCTGTGACCTAAGCAGTATATCTTCCTTTTGTCCTAACTTGAGTGACCTTTGTTCCCCATTTCTCCAGGGCTACTCGACAGTTTTGCGTTCTCTAACATCAGGCTCAGCAACCTTCACTTTGGAGCTTGCCAGTTACCAAGCCCTTAACAGTCAAGAGCAAAGCGCGCTGCTTCAGAGGAGAATGGGGTTGGTGTGATCGCTTTGCTCTGTAGAACAATAAAGACATATTTCTTAGCCTCCCTGTTTAACTATTTTCAGGAGCCTGTTCATGTACACCAGTATGTTCTTCTGGGACCAACTGGTTGTGGTAAATGAGGAATTAGCAGCTGTATGAGCAGATGGTGCTTTTAACTGTCCAGGGGAAGGTTCAGGAGATGCTTGTGTTCTTCTGCAAAGCAGCTGAACAAGAGCTGCAACCACAGTCTGCTGCTGCTGAAACCTTATCGTACAGATCTCTGCAATGAGAACTGATTTCAAATCCTCTTTGTAGAAATGAGCACCAAGGGCACCTTAATGTGCAATGAGCAGTTTCTAACTTCATTAAGCAAAGTTTGTGGAGTTTATGTCAATAAATGAAATTACAGTTCTGACAGTCTGTATCTTGATTTGTTTTCAGCTGAATAGAAAAGCATGGTTAGTAAATATTTTAAATGGAACAACTAACTGTAGAAGCATTACTTCCTGTATTGTTAGAAACCAGTTTGAACCAGAGTTCAGGACTAGCTGTAACTTCTATCCAAGTTTGCTTTAGCAAGTAAGCAGAATGGATGCTTCTGCAATTTGGGTAAGATCTGTGCAAAAAATATGACGACAGTGAACCCTGCCCACTACCTTGGAGTATGTTAAGGGAGTATTTTTTTTTTTGTAGCCCTTTAAGAATGGGTGATTTAAGTTGTAATGGTTCTGACTTGCTATGTGTTACAAGTCAGTTCTAAATTTGCAGTTTGGTTACATAGAGAAGTGGCAAATTATAAGATACACTGAAATAAAAAGACAGTTTGCTCTTTATTTAAATAGTGTCTTTATTTTTCTTTAACTTCAGAATGTGACAAAACTGGATTTGGTTCTCTGGCTTCAAGTTTCAGTATTTCACAGTGAAGTATCCCCATTTCTAATGAAATCATTTTAACTCCAACAAGAACATCAAATAATTGTATTTTAAAAGTGAAAATTTTAAGCCTTCGTTTAGATTTCAAACGGCATGTACATTCATACCCCAGAGGCACTTCAGGTTGTTAGAAATCGCTGCAGCAGTTACTGCCCTCTTGCTTCATGGGCGCAGTATCCAACAAACACAGGTTCAGCTGCTATGCCACGGCTGTTAAAATAAAGTGGAATGTGTGTAATTATAATTAAACACCTGGCTGGTTGTATAGGCAGGAAGAGAGATACTAGCACTCTCTTTTGATCTTTGTGTAAACAAAACTACTTCCAAGAAGTAACAGATTAGGGAGTGAAAGAGGGCCCTATTCTACAGTTCATTATACTTCAGTTAAGTACGGTTCTCTGTTTCAATAAGATGTACCAGAATACTAGAAAACAGGTTGAAAAGCTTAAATTCAGGGTCTAAGTGTCTTGATGTTCTGCAAAACCTATTGCTTTCATTGAAAAGAGGTCATAAGAGTATGAACGTTGCATATTGACATTTGCACCCCACCCCCCCCCAAATGTTTCCTTCATACACAGCTCTATGTCATTTTAATTAATTTTTTTGGGGAGCCAGTTTTACTAAATAGAGGACATTTTCTATCAACACTAACATAAGTTATTCTCATGTGGCTTTAAAAACAACAAAAAAAAACCTTTCGCTTATGATGGTGCAGTAAGATAGTATAAAAAGATATTTCAGAGTTAAAGTAGGCACAGTCAAAATTCTGTTTCTTCGATATTTAAGAGCTAGATAATACTGTTACAGTGATTTGTAGGATAATATGTAATGGTGTTTAAATTCAACTTACGAGCTGCAATGGAAGAAACTGTATAATCAAATAGCTCAGGTGAACTATTGCTTGCCCCTAAGCAAGACCTGCTGTTAGTAAAAAAACAGGGTTGTTTTCTAGGTCTCTGGAATATATTCTCTGCAATTTAGGCTGCTGTATCTTACTGGAAAAAATGGTACTACTTCAAGAGCAGCAGCTTTGCCCTTCCCTAAGTGGAGCAACTGCTATGCCAGTGACCCTGACCTAACTGCTACGAAGTTCTACCTGCCCCTTCCCTCACTCCCTGGTACCCTGCTGCAGAGCAAGCCAGAGCTCTTTGTTCTACTTGGAAAGGCTCCCTGGCCTGCTACCACTGCCATGGTCTGTATATACCACGTATAAAAATGTTAGTAGGGACACAGACCTTTGCCCAGGCTCTAAAACTTTACAATAGTCTGACTGATTAAATCAGCTCTTCTGAGTTCACACAACGCTAAGGAAGCCCCATATATGTGAAAGGCAACAGAACTGCAGCTCCAAGGAATGCTCGTTTCATGAGCAGAAAGGGAAAGGGATCTCTCATGTCTTTTTGGTTCAAAGCCTATATAAAAGGAATAAATTTTCAGGAGGACGTGTCCTTTTATTAAGGTAGTCTGTTTATAACAGGAATGGTTCACCATCAGTTTATATGCCAGCAAAGCAGTTTGAGCAGCAGAACGTAGTTGAAGGAAGAAGTGTGCAGCAAGTACAGGGAGTAGTCCTTGCTCTGCATCTCTCAGGGGAGCCCTACCAGGGCAGCCCTACCAGGGCAGCCGCAGTGATCCGCAGCATGGCAACTGCCAGCATTAAGGAAGAAGACGGAGATGCGGAATAGTTAACCAGTTCCAGGAATAGCATGGCTTAGTTCACTGTAATACCCTAATCCTAGAGGTACAGCCACTGTATACTTCACTGTTCAGTGTTTTCTGAGCCCCACCAAGAGATGCACCATCCTATTAAGCGATAAGACATGTTTTTAAAGCCCTTTAATAATATTTTTAACATTTATTTATTAACTCCCTCTTAATATATATTTTTCTCATGACTGAGGGAGATAACACAATTTACATATACCTATTTTCCTATAGCATTATTTTAAGCCAGCTTGAAATAAACCAAACAAGTCAAAATTTATGAGTCTTTCACTCAGAACTTGATTAAAGAGTTACTTTATGCTATGTGAGAAACCAACATAAACCAGGGCATAACATACTATAATCTGAAAGTCAGTGATTCTGACATGTCATGCTAAGACATACACAGAAACATGACCAGAGTGCTCAAGTGCTGACTCTAACTGCCCCTTGTATGTTATTCTCTAAAAAAGCTCATTTTTATCTAGCTCAAAATACTTCTTCACACTGTTGGGATTTTCAATGACTTGTCGTAAACTTTTATAGAGGAATTAAATTGCACGTTGCATTCTCACTGCAGTCTAGCTTCACAGCAGTATTTGGAAAAACCTAAAAGGCTCTCTGACTGTATACTTTTAAAAGTGGAGTCAACTTGGACTTAAGACCTAGAAACCACTCGTTTCTACAACTGTGAATATACAAAGAGAGCACTAGCAACACTTAACCAGTAATTTGTCTAGATACTTTTCAGGAAAAGACCTGCAGAGAAAAATAGGTTATGAACTCACTTTGTTTACAGTTGTCATAAATCAATTAAAATTTATCAGGGACTCCTGACCCACACCTTTCAGTGCCTACACTGAGGCAGTACCTGAAAGAACAGCTCGCTCAAGGTCTCTGCTCATGCAAATAGCTCCACTTGATGCCTGCTGTAGGGCTTTAATTATTATTTATAATAAATAATTAACAACTTTTTTTAAAAGTCTGCTTTTTCTCCTGCCTGTGTGCTCCTCCCACATATCCTTTAATACCTTTTTTTGTCTGAAATAAGTCAATCACGGTGTTGTTTTTTTTCTTTAGAGGAAAGCAAGTTCTAGTATTTCACTGGAGAAAGTTAACGAGTTCTGAAAATTTTAGTTGCAAAAACTCTCTAGAGCTCCTGCCTTAGTGTATCTGTTCTTTCTCTTCTGTGGATACGAAACCACATGGGATGATGTTCATGCGGTCAGATGGGACTGCTGCTGGCTCTCCTCCCTTCGTTTCCAGGCCTGCCCTTGAGCTCCACTGGTTGTAAGGCAGGAGAATCAAGCTTTGCTACAGCTACTGGTCTTACCGGAGCATGCGGCATCGGTGATTAGTCAGCCTGTCATAGGCATCCTGCAAGTTGGTCACGTTTCTGCTGCTCCAGAGTCTTTCCCCCACAGCGCTGGCTCGAGGCCTGTAAAGATACACTGAGTTTTAGAGCAGGCATGATCTAGAACCAGAATGGAATAAAGTTTTTAATACCAAGTTTTATACATCCAGAAGCATACGTTTTTATGGCAGCTCAGGCTCAGCACACAGCACTGTAACCACTAACATACAGTCCTCTTGGATGAATTAATGCTCCACGTAGCTGGCTTTCTAAAATCTAAAGGTAAAGCAGTTCGTACCATAATCTTGGTGTGAGGTTCGTTGCATCCACAAATTCCCCCCACAGGCAGGCTTCTCCACCTATTAAAAGCTTTTTCTGTTTTTCAGATCCTGAAGTCAAAGCAGAAAGTTAGAATTTCTATTTGCCCAGAAGATGGGGATGTATCAACAATTTCATTTTCCAATACTGAGAAAGGACTAATGTTCAGTTTTTTGTTTTATCATGGGTGCAGTCTACCAGTCTACCCTGGGTGCAGTCCTGAGTAACGTGCTCTGACAAGCTCTAGGCAATCCTGCTTCAGCAGGGGAGTTGGACTAGATGATCTCTATGGTCCCTTCCAACTCTACAAATTCAGTGAAATTCAGTGAAACCATATAAAATTATCTACCCTGAGCACTAACTTAACATTTTGGTAGTCTTGTTACTGACTGTGAGAACAACCAGACTATTTGCCCAGAAAACCTGTTTCCCTTCTCTGTCAGAAAGGATTTTGCCTTTTATCCTCTGAAAGACATTCCTCAGCATTCTGACATTCTTCAGAGATTTCAGCCCTGACTGAAACCGTTCATTCTATCACGCACACAACATTCCTTGAAAAAGCTACAAAGTCGGGTGTTCTCCCTGATCAGCTCTGAGAGCCACCTTGCAGGGAAAGAATAAGATGTTTGTATCAACTTCAGCCAGACAGAGAAAATGTCTTTTTCTAGAACAGTCTAACACTGTAGAAGCTTGCTAACATATGGATTCAATGTCTGTCTACCAATAGCCATTTTGCACAACTCTGGCCCTAATACATGATGCATCTGTCCACCTAGTCCAGCATCCTCTCTCACACAAGCACCAGTGCCAGATGATTGAGGAAGGTAACACTTTTCCCTGTGAGAAGTGGAAAGCTGTGTATTTATTTGAGAATTTTCCAGAGTTCCAGCAGACATTAAAGTCCTTTGACTACAGCCTGTCTGATCGTAGTGACTGCATGACCACTCTAAATAGCCTTATTCTTTCCATTTATGCCTTACTATGAATCAAAGACTTTCATGCACAAAACACGCGTGTAAGAAAAGTAACAAACCAGGGAAGTTAAGGGGTTCAACGCTGTAGTACTTCTTCCAGTCTTGCCCATAGCTAATGTAGTCTAAGTACCAGGGAG